ATGAGGCCAAATTTTACACAGCTGGGGGCCTTAGCATGGGCTCAGATCACATCCGCCCCCCTCTGTCCAAGGCCAGCGCATCACCTGGATCAGGAGGGCAAACAGGCAGGACAGGGCCACTCAAGAGCCACAAGCTGTGGAACTCCTGGCCACAGGTCACATGGCCCAGAAGAGGGAAAGTGACAAGAAGCCCAGCTACAAAGATAGCGGCACCCTCCCCCCCCGCTGTGAAGTCCGTGCCCACAAACCGACCCCCACCCCCACCCCAGCACCCAGTCAGCCCTGTACACGTTCCACTCCAAACTTGTTTATTGACACAATAGAACAGGCTTCCCACCCCCAGGGTACCACCGGTGTCTTTAATCCTCCTCCCCCTCATCCGCCCCCCCAGCACCACCCTGCCCCTTCTTGGCGTTCTTCCTCTTGACACGGCCGGGCCGGCCACCCCCATAGGGCGAGCGCAGCGAGAAGTCGATGTGCTTCTGCGAGTCCAGCCGCACGATGAAGGACGGGATGTTCACCACCTGCTTCCGCACACTGGGGAAGAGGGGAGAGGTGAGGGCTGGCACCGAGACACCTTCCCACAGTGCTCAGGGGCAGCCAGACCCCAGGTAGGATTTCACAACCCCTGGGGAAGATGGCTCACCCCATCATCATCCAATGGCTCCTCCCACTGACACTCCCCAGAGCCAGCTGCATCTCAGCTGCTTCTCCTCCCTGCTGCCAAGCCAGCACCTGTTTGGTTACCAGATGTGACGCCAGAGTCATCCAAAGAAAAGTGGTGGCTCCGGATTGACCATGGGACAGCAGAAGTCATCCCAGCCTTGTCCCCACTGCAGACTGATGCCAGAGGAGCTGGTATCAGAACCAGGTGGGTCCCATTGAACCAGACCCCCGGAGCGCAGGGGCCTGCCTAGATCACAGCCCAGCCCCTTGGCCGGGGGGCTCCGTGCACCCCCACAGGCTCATCCAGGAGGGCTACACAACACAGCAAGAGCAAAGCTTTAGGCACAGGGAGAGGAGGAGCAACAGCCCAACTCCCCACGTCCCGGGGACCAGCTACAGGCTGTGTCCTTCACAGGGTCAGTCGCCGCCCCGAGCGCAGGGGCCTGCCTAGATCACAGCCCAGCCCCTTGGCCGGGGGGCTCCGTGCACCCCCACAGGCTCATCCAGGAGGGCTACACAACACAGCAAGAGCAAAGCTTTAGGCACAGGGAGAGGAGGAGCAACAGCCCAACTCCCCACGTCCCGGGGACCAGCTACAGGCTGTGTCCTTCACAGGGTCAGTCGCCGCCCCAGCAAACTAGCAGCTGCAGGGTGCAGAGCCAGCAACTGAACCCAGGAGTCGGCGCTCCCAGCCCCCACCCCCACGATGGAAGCACTAGACCCTCCTCTCCTGGAGAGAGAGAGAGCACTACACCCCTCCCGCCACGCACAGGGCTGCCCTACCGGATGTGCCGCTGGCGGATCAGCACCCGGGCGGCTTGAAGGCCTGGGTCTGGAGGCGTCTCTCCAGGAAATCCTCAATCTTGAGGCCCAAGATATAATCCAGCTTCATCTTGCCTTCGTCCAGCACCCCGATGCGCACCAGCCGCCGCAGCAGGGCGTTGCCTGGGGAGGCCATGAGATGGAGGAGTGAGATCCCAGGGACCCTGCCTCTTTCCCCTCCCACCGACTGCTGGGACAGCCGCATGGTGCAGCTCCATGCCCCTCCAGCCCCCTACCTTCAAAAAGGCGCCTGGGGTCCTTCTCGTCCAGCGTGAGCAGCTCCCGGGCCGCCTTGCGGATCTTGGCCAGAGTGAATTTCACACGCCAAACTTCCCGCTTGTTCCGCAGCCCATACTCGCCTAGAGGAGAAGAAGGGCTGTTACCCTGTCACAGAGATGGCTGCCTGTGGGTACGGGGGCGGAGTATCCAGGGAATAAACAAGTGTGTGTTCAGAATGGAGAGGGGCAACTAGAGGCGGCCCCAAGGGGTCCGTAATGGGACTAAGCCTATTCAGCATCTTCCGAAATGCTCTGGAGAAAGGGGTCAACAGTGAAGGAGCCAAATTTACAGCTACAAGATTGAAAAGCTTCAAAGGGATCTCGCAAAACTGGGCAAATAGGCAACAAAATGGGAGATGAAAATCAATATTGATACATGCAAATTAATGCCTGTTGGAAAACAATTCCAGCTACCCATATAGAATGATGGTTACCCCTAAGAGATCTTGGGAGTTACTGAATAGTTTTCTGAAAGTAGCCATATAGAAAGATGTTTACCCCTAAGAGATCTTGGGAGTCACTGTGAATAGTTTTCTGAAGACAGCCATTCAACTTACAGCGGCAGCCAAAAAAGCAAAACAAAGGCCGGGAATCATTAAGAAAGGGGATACAGAATATGACAAAACTATCTTATTGCCTCTATATAAGTCCATGGTATGCCCATATCTCAATCTGTGTGCAGATGGGTCACCTCATCTCAAAGCAGGTAACTTGGCATAGGAAAAGGTTCAGAAAAGGGCAACAAAACCTATTTGGAACCTATCTACCGCGATAAACGGTTCACTATGGAATGCCTGCCATAGGCAAGGTTTAATTAAGACTGGGACTTTTTAGCTTGGAAAAGAAAACTAAGGTGGTGTGTGTGTGTGTGTATGACAGGTCTATAAAAGTGTGACTGGAGGAGAAAGTAAACAAGAGAAAGTTATTTACGCCTTCCCATAGCACATAGACCTAGGGATCACCAAATGAAATTAGTAGGCAGCAAGTTTAAAACAAAAGTAGTATTTCTTCACAAAACGCACAATCTGTGGAACTCCTTGACAAAGGATTTTGTGCAGGCCAGGACTTTAACAGGGTTCCAATAAGAGCTAGATACATTCATAGAGAATAGGTTCATCAATGGCTATTAGCCAGGATGGTGTCCCTTGCCTGTCAGGGCTGGACCACTTGATCCCCTGTCCAGTTCATTCTCTGGGGCACTTGGCATTGGACACTGTCAGAAGAAAACAGGATACAGGGCTCAATGGACTTTCAGTCTGACCCAGAATGGCTGTTCTTATGGCCCTGTCACTTCCCCCGGCACAGACACAGGTCAGGACTGTATCTCACAGACTGGAGGGACAGCAGGTTGACCATTACCTGGACTAATGGGGTTAAAGCCCCCCGCAGGCCAGAAAATGGTTCTTGGGCCATGAATGCACAACTATGGCACAATGCTCCCTAGTGCCAGTCTGACTGCCAGATTGCAACCCTTTCTCTACCCTCCTCTCCCCGCTCCCTGACTGCAGGGGCCAAGCACCTTCTGTTGGGCCCCAGGTAATTCCCTGCTGATTTCCCCAGGCAGGCACCAGCCTGAAGCTTGCCCCCAAACTCACCAATGAGCTTCAACTCCTGGTCGAGACGGGATTTCTCGAAGGGGCGCCGGGGGGTTACATAGGTCTTCCGGCACACCCAGCTCCGGGCAACGGGCATCCTGGCCGAGGCTCTGGCCCTGGGGGTGAAAAAAAATTGAGCTAAGAGAAGACAGGATAATACTGCACAATCCCCACCGGCCCTCAACCAAAAGCTCGTGGGGCCAGGATCCTCTAGCAGCCACCCCACAAACCCAGCATGCAACTTGCTCTGGATGACTTCAGCACTGAACTGCTCTCAGGTGGACCCCATCTTCCCTTCCTAGGCCTCCTGTGCCCACCCCACTCATGCCAAAGGGCCAGCATCCTGCAACCACTTGGGCAAATCGGCATCTCTACCACGCTGGCTCTCTTGTTTGGCCACATGCACAAAGCTGCTTTCTGAACCCTGTGACCCCACCTGGACACAGCTGCCCAGCCTGGTGCCCCATGGCATCACAGACATTGGTATGGAGAAGGGGGACACGGAGCCCCTAGCATGAGAGCAGGGCACAGCAGGGAGCAGGCCCCTAGGGAGCTGGGGGGAGGAATGCCAGGGGCCACCGCTGGTGCTAAGCCTGGGGATGCAAAACTGTAACCACTGGGCATCAGCAGGTGTCTCCGTGAGATTCCACACCCACTCCCGGGGAGCAGGATCAGCCCCCTGCGCTGCCAGGTAACTATAGGGCAGCTCCACGTCTCCCTTTTACCTGCCCAGCAGAAGCCTCCTCCAAGAGGCACCGAGCGCCCCAGCAGGTCTCTGCCCCCAACAAGTCTGCACATCCCTAACATGCCCCTTGGGGGCTGCAGCTAGAGATCATGGGGGGGGGAGACCTAGGGGATAGGGCCAGGGGGCTGCAGCTAGAGATCATGGGGGGGGGACCTACGGGTTAGGGCCGAGGCCTGGGGACCCCAGGGTTCAAGTCCCACCCATCCCTAAGCATCACCATGGCCAGCACCAGCTACCCCATTAGAGAAGCCTGAAGACTTGTGGGTTCGAGCCCCTCCATGGCCCCAGAGCAGCCTGAGCCGGGTCCTGGCCGGGGGAGGAGCCCTCAGAGCCATTGGGGGGGGTGCAACGTGACTGCCCCCCCAACAAGGACCAAGGGGGAAACTGAGGCACGGGGGAGCCCCGCCCCTTTGCACGATGAAAGGGGATGGGGGGGGGAATCCCGCCCCTCGCTGCCAGCAAGCGCGCGCCCGGACCAGAGG